ACCTGAAGTACAATAAAATATTAAAAATAAATAAATAAATAAAAAATAAATAAAAAACTTTTTGTAATGTGCTTTGTCATTCAAACAACATCTATATTTTTTTAACTCGGTCATTTAAAAATCTAAACCCCTCTCCGAGTATCAAGGGACTAGTGTTCCAGCAAACACAGTCCATGAAACACAGAATATGAAGGTTTCCCAACATGCATAGTAAAATGCTGTTTTTTTCAGAGCTGTCTTAGGGCGGGTCCCCAGGGCAGAAGCTGAGGTGAGGGTTCCTGTGCAAGTGATTTAGTAAGGATGTGCTCCCAGCAGAGGTCAGGGATGGAGGAGAGCGCGCAGGACAAGAAGGGAAAGAAGCCAAGCCAGGGTTTCAGGCGGAGTCCTACAGAGAACAGCTTCACCTGACCCCACAGGAGACCCTGGGGATGTAAGTGACATTTGGAGTTGTCCCCTCCCTGACCTTTCATGCTTCCCTGCCACACTCACCCACAACCAACCCTCTTCCAAAGAAGATCTTAATTTGTACGTATTCAAAATCCATCAAGGTTTTACTCTATGCCACCTGGGTTTTGCATACACTATCACCATATACTAAATTGTTTCACATACTTTGAATTTGCATCTAGGCTTTGTAATCCACTGTTCTATCTTTTTTATATCACTTCTATACTGTTTTAAGCACTGTAAGTTTGTTTTAATATATTTTCCTTTTTCTAAAACAGTTTTATTAACTATTCTCACACATTTGTTTTTCTGAAGACGTCTTCATTACCAATCCGAAGGAGAGTTTTTAGTCCTTGTCTTTCTAGGTCTGTGGCAGGTGACAGCGTGACCACTTCTTGATATGCTCTGCCTTACCTTCCCAGTGATTATTCTCCTCTTCTCAGGTCACCCCTCTGCAGTCTCTCACTGCCTCCTCCTCTTTTAACCGGGTGCCTCAGATTCTGTGTGAGGCTCTCTCCATGTCTCACTCTAGGGGCTCTCCCTGAGAGCTCCCATCTACCCCTGGTCATCAGCTACCCTCTGCACTGGTATCTTGTAATTTTGCAGCTTTTTTTTTTTCCCCCTTTAAGTAATTGTGCTTTTTATTTGGCTAGACATCCCTTCTCAAGTCTGACTTCCTTGCACTTGTTGCAAGTGAACTTTTTCTTTTCTTCTTTAAGTTCTTTTGACTTGGAGTCTTCTTTGACAGTCCCATAATCTAGCAGCTGAGGGACTGTTCTCTAACAGTCCACAAATCATCAGGCACCAGTCCTAGCAATTCTTCCATCTAATGCCAATCTTCTTTCCACTTCACAGCCTCTGGGGAAGCTCAGGCTGTGCCGTCTCAGCCCTGTCACAACAGTCTACGAATAAGATCCCAGCTTCCCATTCAACTTTCCTGCAAATCACCCTCTTACTCACTACCAGCTTTCTCACACACGTATTCTGATCAGAATTTTCCTTTCACATCAGACAGACTATGGACTTGGATGGCAGTTCTACCTAGCACCTAGCCAGAGGCTTTCAATAAAAATCTTTTTAATCAATTGACTAATTAAAACCTATATGAGCATGTGTTTGTTACTTAATCTATCCAAACAGCTATCTATTCCTCTTTAAAACAAGGATAGAAAAACCTACAGCAAAGTATTGCCATGAAAGTAACGCAAACTAGTGTGTTACTTACCCAGTCAACATCCAAACACTCATCTCTACCACTTCCCAACACCTACACTACTTATTCATGATTTAATCAGCTAACAGTAATCGGCATGTATATGCGCCAGGCATCTTTCAGAACAAAAGATACAGCAATGAATTAGACTTCCCTTGTTGAGCTTGGAGCCCTGGCAGCACAGGGGTTAAGAGGCTTGGCTGCCAACCGAAAGGTTGGCAGTTGGAATCCATCAGCCACTCCTTGGAAACCGTATGGGGCAGTTCTACTCTGTCCTATAGGATCGCTATGAGTTGGAGTCAACTCGATGGCAACAGATTTTTTTGTTGCTGAGCTTGCATTCCAGTGCAGCAAATAGAAAATACACACATACACACAAAATACTTTTTTTAAATACACACACACACACACCATTATAATGTTGGGAATGGTAATGCTATGAAAAAAACTGAAGCTGAGCAAGGGGCTAGAAAGTGACAGGAGCAATGCAGAAAAGGAAATACTCTGGTTACGATGATCAGAGAAGGCCTTTCGGAGACCACCTGAGCAGAAACCTGAAGGAAGTGAGTTATGAACCACATGATCTGAAGGAAGCCCTTTCAGAGAGACAAGGTGCTAATCCAAGGTCGCTGGGGCAGGAGTACACGTGCCATGTGAGAAAAAGCAAGAAGGTGGGTGTAGTTAGAAGGTTTGGAGCAGGGTGATATTACTTCATCTGCTTTTTTTTTAATCCCTGTCACTGCTATGTAAAGAACTGCTCTACGAGGAAACAGTGAAAGCAGATCTTCCTTATTAGAATCAATCATGGATTTCACAGATTAAGTATCAGCTTAAAAAGCACTAACTGACAGGATCAAGTCCAAACTCCTTCCAATGGCACCCAGGGCCTTCATGAGCGCCCCTTGGCTGCCTCTCCAGTATCAGCTCCCCCAACTGCCCGCCTCTAAAACATTCTTTACTCCCCCACCCAGCATGCTGTCTTCTGCTTCCCTGCTTTGCTCAGACTGTCTGTTCCCTACATATGGCTAGATCCTATTCATCCTTTAAAACTCAGCTCAGGGATCCTCCTCTTCAGGAAAACTCCCTGGGGGTAGGATTAGCTGTCCTTTTTTGGTGCACCCATCATACCCCAAGCACCCCTCTATTATTATAGTTAATGTACTCAATATTACATAGCGGACCTCGCTACTACAGTATGAGTTCCTATAGGGAAAATGTCTCAAACTTGGCAGGTGTTCAATAAATATGATGAGTGACAAAACCAACAGACATAGAAGGATCATTTTTGTACACTATGTATCCCTCCTACAACAAAATAAACTGCTAAATATAAAACTAAAGATTTCTGTTTGCTTTTCAAAATGTACGTGCAAATCTGTAAATTTCTCTAGTAACGCACTCTGTTATAAATATACCAAAATGAACAGATATAAAGTCGTAATGTTAAAACATGGTCAAGAATAAATGAAAGCTTACTTTACGAATAAAAAATATTGAAACACCAGCACAGTAAATATTAATACACACAAGAAAGATGAGGAAGAACTAAAATTGAGAGTGTATTAAACTGTGCTGATAGGTAGTGCAACAGTCATGCACTCCGCTGCTAACTAAAAGGTCAGTGGTTCAAACCTACCTAGCCACTCCACAGGAAAAGACCTGGCAATCTGCTCCCAGAAAGATTACAGCCTAGAAAACCCAGCAGGGCTCTACTCTGTCACATGGGGTCACTATGAGTCAAAAATAGACTCCATGGCACCTAACAACAACAATGCATACTTTAAATACAGTATTTCACAACCACACTATAGGATATGTACCCCCATTTCACATTTACTTTACTGAACTTAAGAGAAGTTAAGTGATTTGCCTAAGATCACCAAACCAGTAGACAGAAGAACCCGAATTCAAACCCAGGTCTCCCAACTAAAACATCTCTGCTTTTCACTAGTTGTCTGAGCCACTCTGCTACACCATCCATGACCACACTGATCACCAGGGCTCACTGGTCTGGCAAGCTTTGCCCATAACCTCATCCTCCCTCCATAGCCTGTGAACACCTTCCACCCACATTTCCCACTCACTCAAAAAGTACAACCTTCCAGGAAGAGAAGGTCAAAAGTACCATGAGCTGTTCTTCTCCCCCACTACAGCCCCAAGCTATTTCCACCACACTCTGCTGTCTCCCTATGACAGCTAATTATCATGAGGAGGAAGTATTTTCTGCCACATTTATTAGTACTTTTCCAGTATTTCCCTCATAAAAGCATGACCATGAAGAAGTCCTATGCAGAAGCACATGATTATCCATGATTGACAGCAAGCCGGTACTTACTGGAGGTAGGACTGCCAGTTCACTTTGTTCGCACGAACTTCTGCAGCCTTGGCAGCAATAACGTTGGTTGGGACGGCAGCATCCACAGCACCCCGGATATCCATTTTGGTCATCTAAATTTTATGATCTTGAATGTTTTTCAACAGATCTCCAATTTAGATGCAAGGTAAAAACAGAATACCAGGTTTTATAAACTTTTCAACTCCTATCATTATTATCATTATCATGTTTAAGAATTGAAGATTCTTAGTCACAGACAAATGCCAATAAACCTAATTTACATGTCAGAGATATAATCAACTCAAATATTAAATAATCTAAGTCTGAAGGTACTACCATTATATTTCAAGTCTTGCCCAATTACACACTGCTTCATAAAACTGTTTTCTATAGGGCTTACTTTTGCAGGAAAGGTTTTTTAATTATTTGCATTAATACTGCAGTAAGACTTTAAAGTGACTACTTCAGATAATGATATCAGAATCATGCTTAAAGAAGCATACAAATAAAGAAAATAACTTTATACAATTAGGATCAACTTTCCTCTTCTAAAAAAGATAGGACAGCTAAGGCCAAGTACTTAATCAATGTTTATTAAGCATCATTATGAACTGATATATAAAAAAATACATACTATAAGCCCTGAGACCTGGTGGCACAGTGGTTAAGCCCTCGGCTGCTAACCAAAAAAGGGTAGCTGTTCGAACTCACCAGGAGACAGATGTAGCAACTGCTTCCCTAAAAACTACAGCCTTGGAAACCCTATGGGCAGTTCTACTGTGTCCTATAGGATCGCTATGAGTCGGAATCAACTCGGTGGCAATGGGTTTAACTTTGTTTTTTATAAGCCCTTTCTAAAAACATTGCATTACCTGTTGAAACTAAAATACCTACAGTGGAAAAGTAATTTCTTAGAAGAGAGGTTCTCTTTTTCAACCAAACTTCATAGTATTTTCAAATCAATTTTGGGGGGAATTTTTGCAACAGATTCCAATTACAATTTAGGTACACTCAACAGTGGGAGTCCGGTCAGATAACAGAAACCTATTATAATAGCTTCTAAGTGATTCTCACTCCTAAACTTACGGAGAAAAGCTTACACCTGATTTTACTGTGGCACAAAACACAGGTTCCAGTTCACAAAATATAGATCAATGGACATGGCCACAATGAAGCTAAAAAAAATTTTAAAAACCCATTGCCATCAAGGTGATTCCGACTCACAGCGACCCTATAGGACAAGGCAAAACAGCCTCACAAGGTTTCCAAGGCTGTAATCTTTATGGAAGCAAACTGTCACCATCTTTCTCCCAGCTGAGCAGTTAGCAGCCGAGTGCTTAATCATTGCGCCACCAGGGCTCCTCAATTCTATTCCACGGTCCCAGTGACCCTAGTGAGTTTGGTACTTCAGCTCTACGTCTAAGAATTTGTTGCCTAAACAAGCAAGAGCCCTGAAGATTGGCAGGCCCAAGTAGAAACAGGTTCCTTCCGGGCCAGGATGGAACCCTGGAATCAATCAGGCTCAGCTCCACCCGTCTCTCCTGCGGAAGCTAATGGTGTCTCACGACCGTTACCTAAGTCCCTGAAAAACTCCCCCTCCAAATGGCCAAGGTCGTGGCTCAATCTTGGGGAAGGTATACTTTTCACCCGTCTCTCTGCTCTCTCCTGCCTCACGTCCTTCCCGCTGCGAGAAAGAATCTGCAGTTTCATAAACCTACTGCAGGCCTGGTAGGAAAGGACATTGGGGACGGAGAAGGACCGAGGGTGGAGGGTGTGGGGGTAGGGAAAGCGCTCAAGCAGCAAGAGACCAACACGCACCAGGGACGCAGGAAAAACCGCAGGGGTCAGCTCACCTGGGCCTGTGCCGGAGACCCAACAGCCTGGGCGCAACCTTACGTCACGAATCCGGGGGCCCCTACAAGGCACCCAAATGAGGCGGCGGAGGGGCGGCGGCGCCGGGCGTCGTTGCCACAGCCCGGCTGGGGCTCCGAGTCAGAGCCGAGTTGGCGTCTCTTGCCCGGTCCGGAGGCCTGAGCGGCGGCGGGAGACTCAAAGCCGAAAAGCGAAGAAGGCGCGGACACCAAGAAGACGTTGAGAGCAGAACAAGCAGAAGGAAGCCGGAAGTGCGGCAGAATGACAGAACCGCCGGTCACGAGACCAAGGGCACGTGATCGGCATGGACGATGGACGCCCGGAGCGTCCAAAACTGGCGGAGAGGGTGCGCTTCGTTTCGGAGCGGCAGCCTATGTGATGGGAGCTGGGTCGGGGATCGTGGAGGCGGTAGATAGAGCTCGCGCCATGCTGGCAGTGCAAGTGGGACGGGGACCCACCCGCGCCCTCGAACCCAGCCGAGCACCGTCGCTGGAAGGCAGCGAGCGAGACTAAAACTCATTTAACCGTCATGAGTTTGAAAACTTTGATTTAATGCTTTAAAATTAAAAACCCGAGGCGTCCCGGAAAGCATGGACCCTGGTCTCTCCATCACCCCAGAACTAAGACAACTTCTGAGGCCAACTCTTCAGACAGGGATTGGACTGGACTGTGGGACATAAAGTGATACTCGTGAAGAATGTGCCTCTTAGACAAGTAGATACAAGAGAACAAAGGGGCGGCTTCTGTCCGGAAGTGAGAGGGGAAGGCAGAGTTAGGAGCTGGTTGAATGTTCATGGGGAATCAGGGGTGGAGGAGAGAAGTGTGCTGTCGCAGAATGGGGTGAGCGGTTTGGGTCTCATAACAATGTATGTTAAAAAAAAAAAAAATTCTGTCTGGGAGACTAACTTGAAATGTAAACTTCATTTAATTACATCAATAAAAAAAATTAAAAACACGTTGCAGTGTAGGCGATTCCGACTCATACAGATCCTGTGACACAGAGTAGAACTGCACCGTAGGGTTTCCAAGCAGCAGCGGCTGCATTGGAACTGCCAGTCTTTTGGTTAACCGCGAACTCTTAACCAGTGCGCCACCAGGGCTCCTACGCTTTTAAATAGACCAGCTTTAATTTGGATTTAACAGTTCAATGAAGCAGGCATTCTTATTCTGATTTTAAATATGAAACTAACGCTGAGAAGTTGTTTCTCAGGGTCGCAACGGTTCTCTTAACCCGGGGTTGCACATTCAGTAGATAATATATGTCCCATACAATATTTGGGTAATATTTCTACTAAAAAATTATTTGTTGTTTATCTGAAATTCAAATTTAACTGGGAGGCCTGTACTGATCTGGAAACCCTATCTGGATCCCACGTTTTCTGATTCACTGGTCCGGACCTCAGCTATACTCTCTTAAGCTAATAATGAGTAATACTACGCTGCCAACTAGAGGTTACGTATGACCAAGTAGCAAATTTTTGTTAAAAAGCACTGAAAGAGATTTATAAGTATAACCAATACATTTCTACTAAAAATGTTAAACTTAGGTAAAGTTTTTAAATCGTGAAAACCAAGGTGTCCTAACTTGTGAGCTCTGATGCAACCCTGGGTGGCTAGGGTCAGAGAAGGGCTGCATGGGCACCTGGCGTGAAGGATGGTATCCGTCTAATTTGTGATCTCTGATTCAGCTGCAGGTAGCTAGGGTTGGAGAGAGAGTGTCACTTGGGTGGCTGACTATGAAGACAGAGAAGTGGAAAGGTGAGGACTGAATCCATCCCCACATTTTGTGGATTGGATTCATGCTGATCCTTACCACACAGCAGTGAAGGTGGGATTTACCCACTTTGTTCCTTAGTGCACATCTCCTTGGTTAAATTTATTCCTTTTAGATGCTATTGTAAAAGAAATGGTTTTCTTAATTTTCTTTTCAGATTGTTCGTTGCTGATGTATCAAAACACAACTGATTACTCTGGCTAGGGCTTCTGGTACAATGTTGAATAGTAATCGTAGAAGCAGACATCCTTGTCTTGTTCCTGATATTAGGGGGAAAGCTTTTAGTCTTTTCACCAGTGAGTGTGATGTTTGCTATGGGTTTTTCATAAATATCCTTTATTATATTGAGGAATTTCCCTTCTATTCCTAGTTTGCTGAGTACTTTTATTATGAAATAGTGTTGGATTTTGTCAAATGCCTTTTCTGAGTCATTTGAGATGATCATGTGGTTTTTTTACCATCATTCTATTACCGTAGTGTATTACATTGATTTTCTTATGTGGAACCACCCTTGTTTTCCTGGAATAATACCACTTGGTCATAGTGTATAATCTTTTTAATATGCTGTAGGATTTAGTTTGCTAGTAGTTTGTTGTGCATCTATTATTGATTTTTAATTTAATTTCATTGCGGTCAGGTAACACACTTTGTATGACCTGAATCCTTTTAATTTATCGAGTCTGTTTTTATGACCCAGAATATGGTCTATCTTGTTAAATGGTCTGTATATTTTGCTGAAATTGTGTAGAATGTTCCACAAATGTCAGTTAAATCAATTTGGTTCAAATTGTCCATATTTTTACTGATTATCTATTTCATTAATTATTGAGAGAAAGGTATTGAGATTCCAAATAGAATCGTGAGTTTTATCTGTTTCTCCTTGCATTACTACAAGTTTTTGCTTTGTGTATTTTTAAGTTCTATCATTATGTGCATAAGTGATTGACTGTTTTGTCCTCTTGATGAATTGACTCCTTTATCATTATGAAATAAACTTCTTTATAACTGATAATATTCTTTACTCTGACATCTGTTTTGTCTGATATTAATATATCCACTCCAGCTTTCTTTTGATTAATGTTAGCATGGTATATCTTTTTCTATACTTTTACTTTTAACCTATATGTGTCTTTACATTTAAAGTGTTTTTTTTATAGGCAGTATATCATTGGGTCTTCCTGTTTTTTATCCAACCTGACAATTTCTGCTTTTTAATTTTGGGTATTTAGACCATTTACATTTAATGTGATTATTTGTATAGTTAAGGTTTAAATCTATCATTTTACTATTTATTTTCCATTTGTCTTACCTCTTCTCTGTTTCCTTTTTCCACTTTTCCTGCCTTCTTTTGGTTTAATCAAGTATTTTTTATAATTGTATCACCTTTGTTGGCTTATTAATTATAATTCTTTTTACATTTTAGATGTTACTGTAGGGTTTATAGTATATATATTTAATTTATCGAAATCTACGTTCAAGTGATATTATACCACTTCATATATAGTATAACAACTTTACAGCCCTATACTTCCATTTCTCCCCTGCTGACCTTTGTACTATTTCTGTCATAAATTTTGTTTCTTCATATGCTATAAATTGTGGAATGCATTGTTAATATTTTTACTTTAAACAGTCTTTTAATGTGAATTAAATAACTTTTTAAATCTTTATATCTATCTTTGTAGTTACCATTTTCAGTGTTCTTCATTCTTTTGTGCACATCCAGATTTGGGAATTTAGTATCATTTTCCTTCTGCATGAATGAATTCATGTAATGCATCTTGGGGTTCAGGTCTGCTGGCGATTAGTTCTTTCAGCTTCTGTATTCCAAAAAGTCTTTATTTTACCTTCCTTTTTATCATTTTTTGTTGTTGTTGTGACCCATAGGGATTTTTAAAAATATTTATTTACTTTGCTGTTGTTGTTGAGAATATACACAGCAAAACATACACCAATTCAATAGTTTCTACATGTACAATTCAGTGACATTGATTACATTCTTTGAGTTGTACAACCATTCTCACCCTCCTTTTCTGAGTTGTTCCTTCTGTTACCATAAGCTCACTGCAATTCTAGGTTGACAATACTTTTTTTCCTTTCAATATTTTAAATCCAAGTTGACAAGTTTTTCTTTTCCTTTTCTTTTTCTTTTTTTCCTTCTAGCTTGCATTGTTCCTGAGGAAAATCTACTGTTATCCTTAGCTTTATTCTTCTTTGTTTTGCTTTGGCTGCTTTTAAGATTTTCTCTTTATCACTAGTTTGTGCAATTTGATTATGATGTGCATTGGTGTAGTTTTCTTCATGTTTCTTGTGCTTGGAGTTCATTGAGCTTCTTGGATTTATAAATTTATCATTTTCAACTCAAAATGGATGAAAGACCTAAATATAAATTGAAAATTATAAAGATCATGGAAGAAAAAATAAGGACAACACTAGGGGCCCTAATACATGGCATACATGGAATGCACAAGCACCAGAAGAGAAGTTAGATAACTGGGAGCTCCTAAAAATCAAACACTTACGCTCATCAGAAGACTTCACCAAAAGTGTCAAAAGACAACCTACAGACTGGGAAAAAAAAATTTGGCTACCACAAATCCATTCAGTGTCTAATCTCTAAAATCTACAAGATATTACAAAATCTCAACAACAAAAAACCAAATAACCCAATTAAAACATGAGCAAAGGATATGAACAGGCACTTCACCAAAGAAGATATTCAGGCAGCTAGCAGACACGTAAGGAAATGCTCACAATCATCATCCATTAGAGAAATGCAGATCAAAACTGCAATGAGATACCATCTCACCCCAACAAGGCTAGCATTAATCCGAAAAACACAAAATAATAAATGTTGGAGAGGTTGTAGAGAGAATGGAACACTTAATACACTGTTGGTGGGAATGTACAATGGTACAACCACTTTGGAAATCGATTTGGTGCTTCCTTAAACATCTAGAAATAGAAATACCATATGATCCAGCAATCCCACTCCTTGGAATATATCCTAGAGAAATAAGACCCATCACACAAATAGATATATGCACACCCATGTTCCTTGCAGCACTGTTGACGATAGCAAAAAGATTTAAACAACCTAGGTGCCCATCAATAGACGAATGCGTAAACACATTACAGTATATTCACACAATGGAATACTATGCAATAATAAAGAACAACGATGAATCCGTAAAACATAATGTGGAGGAATCTAGAAGACATTATGCTGACTGAATTTAGTCAGTCACAAAAGGACAAACATTGTATAAGACCACTATTATAAGAACACAAGAAAAGTTTTAAACACAGAAGAAAACATTGTTTGATGTTTACAAGGGTGGGGAGGGAGGGAGAGGGGTATTCACTAACTAGATAGTAGACAAGAATTATCTTAGGTGAAGAGAAGGACAGTACACAATACAGGGGAAATCAGCACCACTGGACTAAACCAAAAGCTAAGAAGTTTCCTGAATACAA